AATAATAGATAGAATAATAGATTAATAGAGAACAGCTGTAAGGACAAGAAATTCTGAAAAACATTTTACCTGTAACATGACAGTGGAGAGTAAAAGAACAGGTGGTGTAAAAAAGTTAAAAAATACTCGTGGCATGACAGCATCATATCATTAACTCTCAGAATCACGTTATGAAGAATTATTCTCTAAATGCCATAATCACACAAAAGAAATAGGAAGCTTACCTTTCAGCCTTGCTGGAAGGTGGATGATGAAGGATAGTTTGGTCATCTTTCATCTCCACGACACACTGCGTCTCCAATTCTATCTCTACAAAAAAAATATATTTGTATATTTATTGTAAATACCAGATCTGTCCAAGATTGCCATGCAATAACCTGATTAACTTAGAAAACTTGAATGTAGGACTAATGATGGTTCAATAACATTGCTTCGTTGCAATCAGCTCAGTGTTGTCCATCTAGAAGAATGTTTTGTGTTATCAAACTATGGCATGAAAACAACATTACAAAGCATTAATCAAAACAATATTTTTAATACACAGGACCTCACATGTTTCAGCAGTCCCTGTTTATTTTCATACATAACATAAAATTGAAGGATAAAAAAAAAAAGACCTGTTAGTCCATCGAAGTGTCCAAAGTGTCAAAGCCAGCCTTTATCGTTTAAATATTTATAAAGGCTTCACTGGAATTATCTTCAATTAACTTCATCCACCACATATTAATGTAATCCAGTCACCACATATTAATGTAATCCAGTCACTACATATTAATGTAATCCAGTCACCACGTATTAATGTAATCCAGTCACCACGTATTAATGTAATCCAGTCACCACGTATTAATGTAATCCAGTCACCACGTATTAATGTAATCCAGTCACCACGTATTAATGTAATCCAGTCACCACGTATTAATGTAATCCAGTCACCACGTATTAATGTAATCCAGTCACCACGTATTAATGTAATCCAGTCACCACGTACTAATGTAATCCAGTCACCATGTACTAATGTAATCCAGTCACCACATATTAATGTAATCCAGTCACCACATATTAATGTAATCCAGTCACCACGTATTAATGTAATCCAGTCACCACGTACTAATGTAATCCAGTCACCACGTACTAATGTAATCCAGTCACCACGTACTAATGTAATCCAGTCACCACGTATTAATGTAATCCAGTCACTACATATTAATGTAATCCAGTCACCACGTAT